GCGCCTGCGTGTTCCGGCGCGTGGGCGGGAAAGGGGCGCGACGCGGGAAAAGGGCGGGCCGGGGCAGCTGGAGCCTGCGCGGTTGCCAGGGTGACAGGAACACAACATGGCGCGCTGAGGGCTGGGCCGGGAGGGGCCCGGAGGGGGCCCGGCCGCTCTCTCGCTCACCCCGAGACCTGCAGGCGAGCGCAGGATGAACAGTAAGGGGGTGTGAGGGAAAGGAGCTGGCCCTGACCTCGGTGTGGAGGCCGCGGGCAGAGGGCCCTTCCTGGGGGGTGGCGCGGGCCCCGGCGCCTCTGAAGGAGGCCGGCCGTCACCGGCGAGCGAGGGGATCGGGGTCCCGAGCAGCGCGGGGAGCGCCCGGGCTGAGGTGGTGGTAGGTGCTTTTACAGTCCCTGGAAACTGCTCTCGCTGCAGCCCGCTGCCAGCTCCTGGTTCTCCCTACCGAGCTCGCACATGTAAACGCTGCTCTCTCTTTGCGTTGCCAGCTCTCTTCAGCAGGGTGCTAATAAATGTTTCTCCCACTCCTGTGAAGAAGTAGCCTGTTTGTCTTCTGGTCTCTCTGAGTACTTTCTCAGAAATTGCTGAGTTTTATCATGCATTATTCCTCAATCCTTTCCTTCCGTTATTTATCATCCTTGTTCAAATCATCCCGTGTCACATCCTACACATTTGGTATGTTTCTGAATGCAGTAATTATGTGCTATGGTTTTGTGACTGAAGCTGAATTTCTTGTTGCCTTCTTAATTTTTTCGGTCGTGTCTCTCTGCCCACATGCATTAATGTCATATTTAAATTTCATTACTTTCTCTTCCTCAGCATCTTGAAATCTTTGCAAGAAAATATCTGCTTTAGGTTTTTATAAATTGTCTGTTTTGACTTTTGTAGTGCTATCTTTTCTGCCATTTTGCATTAGATTCTTTAATTTCAAATGATGATTGATTTTCTGTGCTGTCTAGTTACAGTAATATGGGTATAGTCTTTGAATTCCATCACTTGCCTGTAACTTTAATTTACATTGTTCTTAATTCCCTGGGTCCTGTAGCCTCTTGCACATTAAACTGTTCTTCTGTTGAATGATTGCTTCTCTGCCATTTTCATGGCCACTTTTTTAGTGTTAAACTAGATCAGCTTGCTACAGCTTATTCTTCTTAACCTTTATCTGCTTTTCTGCCAACCGTTATAAGCCTGAACATCTGTGTGTGCTAAAACAGAGGGAAAGAAAGGAAGAGGTTAGGTAGTATCTAGCTTGTTATAGATGCCATGAAAGAATTGCTAACTAGTGTTTAGGTCTTCTTTATTCTTTAGTGTTATATGCAAGTGTAACTAAAATGCTGTTAATTTAATCCTCAAAGCTTTCAGTCTTAAAATACTGATAAAATTTCTGACATTTCTGTCGTTTATCTTTGAGTACCACAAATTTGGGTAAACTAACTGGTAATTAGTTTTGGTTTGTAGCTGTAGTAAGAATTCGGGTGCTTTGACCTGATCTCTTTCAGTGTGTATTTGAAATCTGTTGTTTTGGTGGTGTTTTTTGTCACCTGGTCACTTTTGAAGGATCTATGTGGTACTGAAGTGGATTTTTAAGAATTTCTAGAAATCTTGGCTTGTGGATGCAAATTCAAATTTTGTATTAGTACATTAGTACATGTGTTAGTACATTTGAAGTCTAAATTTTATTTTTATTCTATATAAACTTCTAAGCTATTGCTCTTACAGTGTCTTGAGTTCCTTTCAGGTTCTCATTAAATGATAACTAACTTGTCACATGATTGTTCTCATGTTCTCTGTAGGAGAAAAGCTCTCAACTTCAGTGACCTGTTTTGTTGAGATTTTACACATTGATTTTACACTTCAAAGAGACATTTCAAATAATGCCATTTTCATTCCCGATTCTGCATTTTATTCAATCAGTTGAAATGCTTTTTAATGGATGGCTCTCTCTTAAGCACCAGGTTAAAGCCTCAGTTGTTTATTATGTGTAGAGGGTTTATTTTGTGTATATATAGCACTCTATTGTAAAAACTTAAAATAACAAAACTTACACACTTACATGAAACAAATCTTTGGTGCTGTAAAAATGTTTTTAAAGTGTGTAAAGAATTAACTCTTCTTACACTATTAGAACTCTTCAGTTCAAATGTTTTTAAAAAATCAAATTCTTTTGGGCCCTTCACAGTCACCTGGACTTTTCTTGTAGGAGCAAAATACATGTATAGAAGAAAATATAAACAAACCTAAATTATATAAACATATACTATCTGACTTCTTTATATATCTGAAGATATTTCCAATAAATTTGTACAATAATCCTTTCCCTGAATTTCTCTGTCCAAGTACTTTGGTACATGAGCCCTAAGTGTTAATAAACCATAGATATTCAGATCTTATTTTCAGTACATATGATTTTTTTTTTTTTGATGATAGAGAATCATATGGATTGCCATTTGTTAGAATCAAAGAGTAGGTCAACAAATAGCTATTTTTTTTTATCTGCCTTGGCTATTTTTTGCCACAGGGACTGGCTCTGACATTGTATGAACATATAATGTGGCCAGTGTGCATCTGACTGATTGGAGAGCATTCATTGCTACCAGAAAAATCTGTTGATGCTTTTTCTTTGGCATTCTGTAAGAGTGGGATTTAAGTATTCTGAATTTAAAATCTCCTTCTTATATGTAGCTATTTAGATAGGAAATTAAACTTAAGGTGGGAGTAGAGAGCACAGTGCAGTGTGATTTCTCCTGACAAAGCATGTTACTTGCTCAGTCATGTTGCCTAACAAACGCCAAAGGCTAGGGACCACCTTGCTTTAAAGCACTGACCAGTTATCAAATAACAACCACATGAATTAAACAGGCTTATGGTCTCTTCTGTCTTTTGGAGTCTCCATTAGAGATTGCCTCCTTTACCCATGATGATTTTCAATTCTGTTTCTGCGTTTAAAATAGTTCTATATGTAAATTGTATGTATAGAGTGCATTAGATGTGTCATTGATTTTTAAATTACTCTGATTTTTCCTATTTTTAAAATTTAAATAGCCTAATAAGTTAAGTTTATGATCCAGCATGATAATGATCAGAAAACCTAAGCAGCAGGTGGTAAAAATGAGAAGAACAAATGACAATTCTCACAGAAGTACTGGTTACTGTATTGGAGAAAGAGGGATTTGCAAGGGGAAGGTATCTGCTAATCAAAATACAAGCATTTGGATCACAAGGAAAGGGAAGACTTTTTTTTTAACAGAAGTGCAAAAGTTGGGGAGGAGAAAAGAGATGAAGACAACACCAATTGATTGTTAGTTGGAAGACAGTGTTAGAATGTCCCTGCCTAAGTAACTTTTCCTTCTGCAAAATTTCTTGGCAGGCTTTCTCCACTGTGAGGCTGTATTTATACTTGTAAATTAAACATATCTGGCAATCTTCTTGGACACAAAGAGCAACTGTCATGAAATGGCCCACATCTATGCTAGTAAATTCTCTTATCTTCCAAAACAAGGCAATAGGACAAAAACTGCTGTAGGAATGACCTTAGAAGGAGTCCTCGCATCAGACTAGGAAGGTGCTTAGGACAGTGGTGGTTGTCACAGGCCAAATCCATGCCAGGGACTGTTGTCACAGTAACTAATACAGACAACTACGCTAAACTGAATTTACTGCTGTTGACATAGCTTAAGGCTTCTGCAGTTATTCTGACTCCCACAAACAATTGAATATGATAAAATAGGTTTCCTGCTCTGCTTCCCTCAAAATGAATGGGGTTTGATCTTTCTTAAATAATGAGACTGTGTCAAAAGCAACAGCAGGATAAAGCTAACCAGAACTGGGTTTTGCTCAGATGAAATTACTGGAAGAATTATCACAGATAGAATCTGTAGGTGCTAAAAATAAAGGGAAACAGGAGGACAAAGTGGGTGAAGGGAACCAGGCAGTAGGATTGGTAGAAACAGTTAATCACACAGCTGAAGGAGAATAAAGGAGGAAAGAAAAGAAACTTCAGTTCTGAAGGAAAATAGGTAGACCCAGAAATTAATATAAATAAAGCTTTCTTCATAACCCTAATGTTATCTGCTTCATCTCTTAAAATTCTGCAGAGCTATTATTGACTGATTTTCACATCCTTTTGTTTGGTGCACGTCATTATTAAAGCCAAGCATTATTTTTACCCTAGTGCAAAACTAATATCTGAATTTAGTGTGGGAATAAAGCTTTAAAATCAGCAACTGCTTTGCTTAAAAAAAAAAAAAAAAAAAAAAAAAACTGTAATATG